TGTCTTGGAAGTGCGGCCGTTGGGATCCTCCGTGATAGCGACGGTTTTCTATATTTAGGGTGTTAGACGAGGGTTTTTGATCCGGTTGGCCGGGTTTTCCCTCGAGCCTGTTGTTGTTTTGAGTCCCTTTGATAGATCAGGGGTATCCATGCCCCACGTTAGGTTTGCCATTCGCGTGCAAACCGGGGAGGGTGTTCGTGTGTTTGGGTATGGACTGGTTAGATCTACCGGCAACAACAGAGGGCACGCAGATGGGTCATGTGTACACCTTGAAATGATTTCATGTGCGGGGACCCCTCGAACTCCAAAGAGGGCTTCCCTTGTCCCTACTCCCCTTGCGTGTCAAATACAAGAGATAAAACGTCTTCCCCTTCCAAGTAGAGGACATTTACGAACAGACGACGCGGCAGCGTGGTCTGAAGACAGTGTAGGGCTAGCGCTGTTGATGATGCCCGAGATGTCTCCATAAACCTGCGTGGTCCACTCTTCTTCCGAGAACACGCCGCTGCTCCTCAGGTCCCACGCCAAATCGAAGGCCTCCCAGTCTTCGCTCGAGAGGGAGCTGCTCTCCCTCACATGTTTCTTGATCACCTCGTACTGTCGTTCAAGAATCACGCCCTATGCTTTGAGTGCTGCGAGCTTCTGGAGCTCCCTCAAGGTCGCCAAGGGCAGTGACATGATCGTCCTTCGTGCATACAGAGGGCTTGTTGCGCGGCACGCACCCGAGGAAACTCGTGGGCCGCAGAAGCGAAGGGGGCACAGCGATATCCCACACACGCATCCTCCTGGTTCGCTAATTTTTCGGTACCCACCTTATGTTGTGGAAAAAAGTACTGGGAGAGGGGGGGGAGGGGGTGACGCTACCCGCCGAAGTTCTTGTCTTCTAGCGAAGATCTGCAATGGACCCCGCTCTTATCTTGACCTCGAGTTTGGACACCTCGATACGGGTTCTTGTTCTTATGTCACGTCAAAACTGAGCACCTGTTCTTATGGCCGAGTTCTTAAGTCTTAGTTTTTTTTAGCCCCATGCTCCTAACAGGTGTGTTCTTAAGTGCGGGCGCCATCTGTAGTCGAGAACGTGTCCTATTATGCTGTAGGGGGGAGAGCGTGGTGGTGCGGCGCGGATGTCATCCCAAATGGTCGCGGTTGATGTGTTTGGCCGCAATGTGGTCCGTGCCGCTGCTGCCTCCGTATTGTGCGGACGGTGCGCGTAAAGAAGAAAAGTTGGTTTGTATCATATGATTCTTGGAGCATGATGACACCTGCCAACATGAGCACGCGAATATTTTCAAAACCGGAGAGCTCAAGGGAAACCGCATAAAATGTCAACGGGCAAAAGATACACCATCACAACGCTGAATCAAGGCTGCAACTTTATTCCCATGCGTGGTCATGACAAAGGGACCAGCGGTACTCTAATCCAACGCGCAAAAAAAACTCGAAACATTACGGACACGGGAAAGAACAAAGACCCCGCGGGGCCGAGAGACTCTTACCCCTCCACCCCTACCAAATAGCAATGGTTTTCCAGAACCACCTTTCTCCTTGCTGCGGCGGGCCAGTTACCGAAGGAAATAATCCCAATCCGACACAACAGATGCTGTTGGCAGACTCCCAACACACCCAACACACATGCACACGCGCGCGCAAACCAATGCGCGCCAACGGTAGCAAAGTGAATCCAACGCCGAGGAACGCATCGGTAACACGTTCTACATTTCCCTGACGTGTCTTACAGGTAGACGGTCTCCTCCACTACGGCGCACTACTACTTTTGTGTCGTTTACTCGGCCCCGTTTGCTTCTTACGGGACGGTGGTTGCAGACGCTCCAACTGAACAAGATGGGCGGTCGTCTGGAACGGTGGCGAAGCCTGCCCCCCACCGCGACGAGAAACGTCGACGTTGTCCAGGGAACGAAACGGCAACGCCAAGCCCTCGGACGTGTGCGCCCCGTTCACGGGTGTCGCCTGGAAGCCGATAGGCGCGGCGCCGGTGGTGCCCGATCCTGCCGGAGGGTGGGATGCTCGGCGAACCCCCGTGGTAACGCTCGGCGTACGCGTAGCGAAACTAGCAGAGTTTCCGCCCCCCCCTGTGCGCCCGTGGCCTGTCCCTCCGCCCCTGCCACCGCTTCGCCGGCCGCCGTTTCCACCGCCACCGCTTCCCTGGCCGCTGCTTCCAGGGCCACCCTTTCCCCCTGATGGTCCCCTTCCGGTCGACTCCTTTCCCCCCCCGGCCACGCCCCCCCCGACCCGGGTACCCGGCGGCTCCCTGCGGCAGGGCAGGGGTGGGCCGGGGGAAAGTTCCCGTGAACACCTGGCTCGTTGACTCGTCTCGTAACGACCGCTTCTCCACCTCGATTTGTTGCTTGGCGTAGAGCTTCATGGACTCTATCAAACGTTGGATGCTCGCCACAGACGATACCTGACGATACCTCTTTGAACATACCACCCAGCTCCTTCCCTAAGGCGACGCCGTTGGCGTACGCGTAGGCCGACAAGTTGGGTCCGGAGTGGGACGACACGATCGGATTGGGGTCGACGGGTAGCATCTGTCTGGGAGGCCCCGCAGGTCCCGTCAGCCCCGCAGCTCCGGTCGATAGCTTGGCAGGCTTAGCTGCCGTCGCTGCCATCGTCCATGGCGTCTCACTGTCACGCCACCTTGGTGAAATAGTCGTTCCGCTGAATTGGGAGGCACGCTGGTATCACAAGGCCTTGATGGCGTTCGGGCAAAGTAGCCCGTAGACAAGCTGCCGAAGGCACGTGCAGAGGAAGAAGCCGTGCGGTCCAAGGGCGGCGAGGTGACCGCACTCGGACGCTGTAGAGATCGGCGTGATGCGCACCACCGTGTGAACGTTCTGGTCACGAAGTAATTCCGCGAAGTGAGGCACGGATGTGTGGGACACCATGGAGACGCCAGCGACGTCGGACGTCGGTATTGAAGGGTCCACCAACTCTCCGGAGCCGGTGTCGTATGTGAGGTTCGCCTTGGTCGGGTCTGCCACCAACTCCTCGAACAGCCTCCGCGCCGCCTATTCGTCACGCACGACAGCTTTCGCCTCGTATTTGAGAGCCCCGAGGATCTGTGCTTCAGTGTCCTGCCAACACGGCATACCCACGGGTA